CCGGGGGGGCGGGGGGGCTCTGCAATTTACCTGGCTGCTTCTTGCTCTGACTGAGGGCTGCTGGGAGCAGGGGGTGGGGCTTGTTGCATGTGCCTGCCCCCTAGGCTCTTTACTGCCGGAGCTCCGCTCCTGTGCGCTCCTGCAGGAAATGACCCCTGGTTCCCTCTAAAGCTGAGTTAGTGTGAGCCAGCTCACAGTTTTTTAACCTCCAGCTCACACATTTTTGTCTGAGCTCAGGAAGGAGGGCTCCAGAGCAAATCGCTCGCTCACAACTTTAATGCCAGGCGCTCACAAAGTAGAATTTTTGCTCAAAAGGCACCACAGCTTAGAGCAGTGGTTCTCAACCTTCCTAATGCCGCGACCCTTTCATACAGTTCCTCATGTTGTGGTGACCCCCAACCATAACATTATTTTCGTTGCTATCCTAAGACCATCGAAAATTTGTGTTTTCCGATGGTCTTAGGTGACCCCTGTGAAAGGGTCGTTTGACCCCCAAAGGGGTCGCGACCCACAGGTTGAGAACCACTGGCTTAGAGGGAGCATTGCCTGTGAGGTAGGTGGGGCTGAGAGAGCTCTTTCAAGGACTGCTTGTGAGAGGACTTGTGACTGACCCAAGGTCAGCCAGCTGGCTGCATGTGGAGGAGGAGACTGGATTTATACTCCGCCCTTCACTACCCAAAGGAGTCTCAGAGCGGCTTACAATCTCCTTTTCCCTTCCCCTCCCCACAACAGACACCCTGTGAGGTAGGTGGGGCTGAGTCTTTCGAGGACTGCTCGTGAGAGAACAGCTCTGAGAAAACTTGTGACTGACCCAAGGTCACCCAGCAGCTGCATGCGGAGGAATGGGGAATCTAATCTCCCAGATTAGAGTCCACGCTCTTAAACACCATACCAAACTGGTTCTCAAGATTATTGGGATCCCTCAATGACAAAACCAGAGCCTTGCCCTGCCGTCTGCGATCGGCACTTGGGTGTATTCGGTGTTATATCCCCAGCTGAAGCTTAGCTCCCAGCCCCGAAGGGGGAACCCCCTTAACTTTGGAAGCTATTTTGGCTCTGTAAGAAGGAACGGGGGCGGGGAACCTTTAAACGATAGCCCTAGAGCGAATTGCACTCTTCTGGGCACCAGAATTACGTCAGCTTTATCACAGGATCTGTTTTGCCGGCCACCCGTTAGTCGGCTAAAAACGACTTTCTAGAGCGGTCTTAGGAACAGCCAGACGATTTTCTGAAAAGGGCGAACCCTTGGCATCCTTTCCCGTTGCAGAGGTGAGACTCACCTGGGGAGCCAGTTTTCCAGGGCCTGTCTGGTCTCCTCAGGGAGTTTCGTCTCCTTCTTCACCCACTTCAGCCTGTTGGAAATCCGGTGCACGTGAGTGTCCACACCTAGAGGAGGAAGAGGGTCAGGATCAGACGGGGCGGGGGACAGGAGACCCACCTGTCTGGGCTTGGGGGAGACATTCCCTCCCCAAAATTATCAAATTTTGGCATGGACCAAGAGTCCCCCTCTGGCTGCGTCCCTGTTCTCCGCTGGCCGCCTGAACTGTCAGGTTTGTTACGCCAGTTGTGCACAAGCGTGTGCCCGCAGAGGGGATGTTCTCGCCACTGGCTCGCTCTGACTCTTACCAAGCTCTGGTTTTCAAAATTGTCCTTCCTCCGCTCGACACTGGCTAAAACGTCTGTCGGACGCTCCCAGCAAAACGGAAGGATGGGTAAATCAGAGGGGAGATTGTCCAATCCAATCCAGTTACCTTTATTGGCACGTGACCCTTGCAGACTCATGCACAACAAAAAGCAACAACAGCACAAAACAATATTTGCAAAAACAAAACAAAACCCAGATGTAAGGAAGTACCGTGTAAGTATAAAGGTAAAGGTTCCCTTGCTCGGAAGCCAGTCGAATTCGACTCTAGGGTTGCGGTGCTCATCTCCGTTTCAAAGCCGAAGAGCCAGCGCTGTCCGAAGACGTTTCCGTGGTCATGTGGCCTGCATGACTAAACACCAAGGCGCACAGAACGCTGTTCCCTTCCCACCGAAGTGGTACCTATTTATCTACTTGCAATTTCTTGCTTTCGAATTGCTAGGTTGGCAGGAGCTGGAACTAGAGACAGGAGCTCACTCCGTCATGTGGCAACCCGGGTCTCAAACTGCTGAACTACTGACCTTCCACAGCCTGCAGTTCAGCGTCTTAACCACTTGAGCCACCGCAGCTCCTTTGCCCTGTGTAAATATACCAATCAATTAAATAAAGGGCAAATCGAAATGGCACCAAAAAGAGATTTAGCGACAGTTTCCCGTTATCTCAAGGTTTGGATTATCAAGAAGAGTAAGGAGCTTTAGGCCATCAGAAGAAGAAGAAGAGGAGGAGGAGGAGGAGATTGGATTTATACCCCGCCCTTCACTCGGAGTCTCAGAGTGGCTCACAATCTCCTTTGCCTTCCCCTCCCCACAACAGACACCCTGTGAGGCAGGCGGGGCTGAGAGAGCTCTTTCGAGGACTGCCCTTGAGAGAACAGCTCTTGTCAGAACTATGGCTTGCTCAAGGACATCCAGCAGCTGCAAGTGGAGGAGTGGGGAATCAAACCCGGTTCTCCCAGATTAGAGTCCGCGCACTGAACCACGACACCAAACTGGTGTACAGCCGCACACTTAACCACTGCACCAAACTCATTCTTCTAATTGAGCCAAAGCAGTTGAGACGTGGCGCATAGTAGAAGGGGCACTGAAACAACACATGGGAGATCGTGTCGATAACGATCATTTGTGCATGGACAACATCTGTCAGAAAAGGGCACACCCTGAAAACGGCCGGATAATAAGGCCGAAGGGGAGATTGTCCATTCTCACCCTCCGGAGCATGAGATCTCACATCCCTTCCCTTCATGACAATTCTCCGGCCTCTCTGCACATTTCTATGTTTTCAAGCCACCCTGTGAGGAGGGGACCCACGGTCACCCAGGGAGCAACGTTTCCGGGAAACCTTCCCGCTTGTGCCTGCACAGATTCCTGGAGCTTACCTGGATTGTCAAAGGCAGGTGAAACATTAACCAGGAAGCAATCTTAAATCCCGCCGGTGAGATCCAGCATCTAACAGCCACCCTGCTCTGCGGCCTCCAGTGACCTTGCCTGCCTTTTCCCCCCCGACTTGGTTTCACACCAACCATCCCCTGAGCTTGTCCCGCAGACCCCGTTCATCGTGAATCAGTGCCACCTGGTGTCCCATGATCTATTTCTTCTTCTTCTTCTTTTTTACAACAGGCAAATACTTCAATACAAAACAGAATTTGGCAACTGCTCTTAGGCCAGCGACAGGTAGGTGGCATCGCAGCGCCACCTTCTGGTCACAGCAGGTTCCTCTTGCAGGCCCAAACGCCCAAGAGGTGGAAAGCACCATCAAATCTTGGCTGATTTATGGCAACTCCTCATGGGGTTTTCGAGGCAAGAGACGAAGAACAGAGGTTGGAAGGGTTGTGGATCACTGGCAGAGCCTCTGCTCGGCATGCAGAAGGTCCCAGGTTCGATCCCTGACAGCATCTCCCGTTAAAAAGGCCCAGGCAGGAGGTGATGGGAAAGACCTCCGCCTGAGACCCTGGAGAGCTGTCAAGAGGGACCGTGGCTCAGTGGCAGAGCCTCTGCTTGGCAGGCAGAAGGTCCCAGGTTCAATCCCCGGCATCTCCAGTTAAGAAGGATCAGGCAGGAGGTGATGGGAAAGACCTCTGCTCAAGACCCTGGAGAGCTGTAAAAAGGGGCAGTGTGGCTAAGTGGCAGAGCCTCTGCTTGGCAGGCAGAAGGTCCCTGGTTCAATTCCTGGCATCTCCAGTTAAAAGAAATCAGGCAGGAGGTGATGGGAAAGACCTCCGCCTGAGACCCTGGAGGGCTGTCAAGAGGGGCTGTGGCTCAGTGGCAGAGCATCTGCTTGGCAGGCAGAAGGTCC